TTTCCCTAACAGCCCTCTGTGGCTTCTGGCCCAGGATCCCACAGCTCATTTCTTCTACTGCCTCCAGGCAACTCTGCCTTCTCTTGGTCTGTGTTTGTCTGCTCCATTTTTGCTCTTTAATTTTCAGACTTTTTGTGTCATTTTGTTTTAATCGTCTCTTGCAAACAACACATGGTCAAACTTAAAAAAAAATCTGAGCATCTTTTCTTTGATTCAGGGAATTTAACTTACTCATATTTAATGTCATTTCTGACATAATGGTTACCTTATATAATAAGCATAATTGTGTGGTTGTGTAACATTATACATTATATAATCTTATTTTGCAAAGTATTATATGCTGTAATACAAAATGCATACATCTAAAATGTTTGAAAGGATATTTAACACATACTTATTGAGCACCTGCTACATGTGTCATGTCTCATTCTTCCAGGCACTGAGGTAATACCTAAAATATAAGCAGCGGCTATTCTAGGGTGACCAGATGGCAAATCATTTATTTTTCTTTTTGCTTATTTGCATTCCTTTTAGTGACCTAGTCTCATTTGTGTAATTTTTAAGTTAATTTTTAAATATCTAAACCAAAGCATAAATTTCCTAGTCAAAAAAAAGTGAGTCCTTAAAATATACACTACTTAAGTCAGAGTTTATGGTCCCAGGAAAGAACAACTGCAGATGGCAAACAGATATTAAAAAGTTGGCATCTTTGCCATACAGTATCATCCGGTGCAGAGGCTCATTCCTGCCTCTCAGCCAGGTGCTGCTGAGCCAGCCTGCCTAGAGGCCGCTTCCTGTTATTTTCAACTCACATAATTGATCCCATGAGTTCCTTGTATACTGCAGAGGAAGCAATAAAGCTCACACACACTGTTACATAGCTCTTTGGTCTTTTTCAATAGTTCTCAATCAACTCAGCTTTTTGTCATTCTTCCTATGAGATAGAGCATTTGAAGTAGGCCCTTTGAAACCCTTTTGCGCTATTGGTAGGATTACAAATTGGTGCAGCCACTATGGAAAATAGTATGGAGGGTCCTCAAAAATTAAAAATAAAACTACCGTATGACCCAGCAATCCCACAGGTGGGTATTTATCCGAAGAAATCCAAAATCTAATTTATGTTTATTGCAGCATTATTTATAATAGCCAAGATATGGAAAGTGTTCATCGACAATCCTCTCTCTCTCTCTCTCTCTCTCTCTCTCTCTCTCTCTCTCTGTCTGTCTCTGTGTCTCTCTCTCTCTCTCTCACACACACACACACACACACACACACACACACACACACACACTGGAATATTTCTTGGCCATAAAAAATGAAATCTTACTATTTACAACATGGGTGAAACTAGAGGGTACTATGTTAAGTGAAAATAAGTCAGACAGAGGAAGAAAAATACCATATGATTTCACTTATATGTGGAATTTAAAAAACAAAATAAACAAAACAGAAACAAACTCATAAATACAGAAAACAAACTGATGGTTGCTAGATGGGAGGGGGTTTGGGAAGCTAGGTGAAAAAGGTGAAGGGATTAAGAAGTACAAATTGACGGGGATGCCAGGCCCGGGGAGCGCTAGGCCCGGGGAGCGCCAGGCCCCAGGTGCACCAGGCCCTGGGTGCACAGCGCGCGCCTGTGGGAGGAGATGCCCCACCTTCAGAGATCCAGTTCTTAAAGGGAAAACGGCAACATCCATAGGTCAGGGATGGAAGGGGGGGAGGGAGGGCATGGAATTAAAGTGGGGGGAAAAAAAAGAAGTACAAATTGACAGTTATAAAATATTCATGGGGATGTAAAGTACAGCATAGAAAATATAGAGAATAATATAATAATTATGTATGGTGCCAGGTGGGTACTAGACTTATTGGGAGGTCACTTCAAAAATTATATAAATATCTATCCACTATGCTGTATGCCTGAAACTAATATAATGTTAAATGCCAACTGTAATTGAAAATTTTTTTAAATAACAAAAAATAATAATAAAGTGGGCCCTTCCAGCACAGGTGGATCATACCTCCATCGTTGAATTGGATACCCTGAAATGTCTTGCCAGTGACAGGGACGAGACATTGCCCAGAATCGACACCACCGAAGCCAGATTTCCAGCTGTGATTAATGGGTTTTGTTGAATGACAACTGAAAGATTTCGCACCAAGGAGGACACGGCTGCCTCGGTGGCATTGCCTGCGATCACAATGAAATTCTAGGAATAAAAATGGTTTAGTTCTTTAAAAACAATGAAATGCTTGTGTTTCTTCAAATTTAAATCACATTTCTTGACCACAAATCACTAACATTTGTATGGTGCTTTATAATATAGGATATTATATAACAATGAGAGTAACAGTGGCTGTTATCCAGTGCTTTCTGTATTCCAGAACTGTTACTCTGTGCTAAATGCTTTACCAAGGATTCGTTGATTTAATCTTTACACCGCCCTTTGAAGGAGGTTCCATGTTATTTTTATTTTGTAACTAAGGAAATAGACACTTGATGAGATTTATTAAAAGACATTTTCATATAAATTATCCTAATTATATAGAAACTGATGTTCAATGAGATTCAGTGACTTTCCAAACAGTATCCAGCTAGGAAGTGGTAAAGTAGGGTCTACTGGCACTACACCTTGTTATATCCACTATACTATGCTAAAAAATCCTTGTAGGATGGGAAGATAGAGGGACAGACATGAAGATTTGGCTATACTTTGTCACTGAATTTAGAGTTTTACTTCTTCCTTAAAACTCCCATCTGCTCTGGGCTAGCTTGAAAGGCAGCCAAGAAGGAATATTCCTTTCTGGTCAAAACAAGTCAACTTAGGAACCCAGATCTCAAGCATTTTCCTTTTTGCTATTCTCAGTTAACAATAGTGTTCTCTGCCTGGGGCACCTGGGATCTGCCTGCCCTCACCCTCATGCCTTCATATGGACATGGTCCATGTCCATAACCGAGGCAAAGAAGGCAAGGGTAAGAATAAACCCCAGAAGCCATCTGGTCCAATCTTCTTCCCAGTTTACAGATGAGGAAACGGAAGTCCAGAGAAGGAGAACTGAACATTCCACAGTCCTTTGACAAATACCGTTCTGAGGTTCTCTACTGTAATAGCAGAGTCTCTGGCTGGAACAGAAATTCTACTCAGTATGGAGATCTATTTGCAGAACAATGTCTGTGAACTATCTTAGAGTCCTTTCCTATGACTTGAGTTCTAATTCCTCACAATTTACTTCCATCTATCTGCCTTGTCTTATGTACTTGAACCTTCCAAAGAGAGCATTATGTGAAGGGAATCAATTGACCATATTTCTTGTTCAACATTATTGCTACCCAGTGAGACCTACTATTAGCCCCTTAGTCTTTCATATTCTAAACTATATAAGGAGTTTGGTAAACCAGATGACACTTAAGATCCATTGCAGTTATGTCATTCTATATGGTTCACCCCTAGCTGACCCACTCCTTGCCCTAGTTTCTGACATATGTACATTCTCCTTTTACTAAATCTATCACTTCTGATTCACACTTTCACCTGGACCTTTGATTCCCAGGCTCTTTGGACTTCTGAGGCCAGCGTAGTTGCAGTTCTACCATCTATCATATCATTGATTCTGCAGCACCTCTCCCACCAAAACCATCAAGTTTGACATTTTCTGACCTTCTCAGCTGTCACCTAGACTCTGCTACTCATGCCCATACTCCCTGGGTTTACCAGGGTCTCATGTCACCTTCATGTTCTTTGTACTTACCAATGAGACAGATTGATATATTTTACCCTCCACTTAGCCATGCTCATTGGAAAGTGCCCACTGTGAAACTCAAAACCAGAGCAAGTCTGCAAGGTAGAAATGCTTTACCTGCTGCAGTTCTTCCAGCTGAAAGAGCACACATGTTTCCCTGATGACCTGCCACCCAGAGGGCTGGCACCTGGCCGTGATGTTTCCAATGTAGCCGCTGCTACAGGGAAGAGTATACTCATCATTCTTAAATCCAAATCCAAAAACAATGTTGTTACACTGGACTGGAAAAGAGGAAAAAGAGAGGGAAAATGTCTCTGAATATCCTGCCATTCTGTATAAACCATAGAGTAGTGCTTAGAAATCATATTTTCAGAGACAATACCCAGGCAAAATTCAAGAGTAGGAGAAGTTTGTCTTTGATGCTCAGCTTCATCCTATCAGCATCTTTTTCTCCTTCCTGATGCCCTCCCCCCCCACTCCGAGGTTGGCCCTTTTCCCTGCAGGTGTCTGATCTGTGCCAACAATCTTGCTTTTAGTGGGCTATCAACTAGTAAGTATGAGGTGAAGTATTTTCACTCTTTAAGGGAATGCTAGAAAACCAGAAAATCTTCAAGCCACTATGGAACGAAGCAGTAATGATATGGTTAAAAGATGGGCAGTTGCCATTTAGGGATGACATAGCCTACTTTGTACCCCTTTGAAAGCTTCTCGCATCACAATCAGCTGCTAGTTGGCCCTTAATAATATAGTCTTACCATGACTGGGGCTTGAGAAAGAGCCTTGAATCAAAGATCCACAGAGCTGTGTTTTTTGTTTGTTTTCCCCATTGCTGTGTCCTAAGTACGGAGACACTTTAAAAGCTTAGTAAATATTCGTTAAGTGTTGTTGAAAGTAGCACAGATTTTTATAGGAGAGATTTAGGATCGAATGTAAAGAAGTAAAAGGGAAAAAATACCTGAAGAAAAGAAGTGGTGTGTGTGTGTGTGTGTGTGTGTGTTGTGTCTGTGTGTATTTGTGTGTCTGTGACCTGAAGAAAAGAAGTGGTGTGTGTGTGTGTGTGTATTTGTGTGTCTGTATGAGTATTAAAGACTTGCATATATACTTTCTTTTCTTGTTTTCCTTGGATTATGACTTAGAAATATTATCAGCCCTAGAGATATTTCAACATGTATACCAGTAAATCATTTCAATCACAGCCTACAGTGAAAATGGTCTTCCACAAAGTTCATAGTGGAGATCAGGTCACCAATTAGCAAAGATCTGAACTAGTCAGCTGAAATTGAGTTTCATCATAAACAGCTGCCTATTTCTGCTGAAAGTCAATCTTAGAATAATTCTGAAGCAGAAATAGCTCCAATGTACCTCCTGGAGACACAAATGAGCTACTAATTAAAGGATTCATTTAACCTAAGCAGAGAATGGGAATCCAGTATTACCTTTCCTGAATACTTTGAAAGAGTTGTCTTCTAGTAAAAACAGCTTGCGAAGGCCTGCTTTAGCCTTCTCAGCCACCTGTTCAATGGCTGACAGCAGCTCAGATGTGCTGCTGGAGCCAACAACTTCATACCCAGCAGTGATGCATCCATCTCTATGATGAAAGAAAAATGAGATTCATTTATTTAATCACTCAGGGACACCTCTGTGTGTGCATAGGAATAAATCAAACAGATTTAGTCCTTGCTTTCACGGAGCTTACATACTAGTGGAGAAAGCATCACAAATAAACATCATATATAAGTATTTATATAATTATATATATATATAGAGAGAGAGAGAGAACGAAAGAGAGAGTTAAGTGTCACAAGAGACAGATACAGAGATAAGAATAGCAGGTAGGTATGGGGCCCACTTTAAATAAGACTGGTCAGGGAAGGTTTCTTTGTGCAGAGGGTCTCAGCAGCTGAGGTCTGAATAATAAGAAGAAAAAGACAGTGATGCAAAGACCATTGGTCATTGGCATAGCATCCCAGCACATGTGAAGGGCCTGAGGCAGGAAAATGTCTATGAGTTTGACAAATTTAACAACTAGATGTCAGGTCAAGAATTGGGGTTGCTTCTCAATGCCTAAAGGTTTCAGTGTGGGTTTTAAGTATCCCAGGTGAAAATAAATTGAGTCGAAGAAAATCTATTTAAGTATAAAGACTGGCACTACTAAAGTTAAATGAGCAAGAGGGAGATGGGTAGGAGATGATATTAGAGAAGTAGCCCGGAACCAGATCACAGAGGGCTTTAGAGTATGAATTTTATTGTTTATTAAAAGGTTTTATTCTTTCTTAAAAGTCAGTGGAGTGATCGGTTTTATTGTTTAAGATGATCACTCTGGCTGCTGTGTAGAAAATAGACTGAAGGTAGGCAACCAGAGAAGGAGAAAAACTTTTAGTTAGAAAAGAGATGGTGGTGGCTTGAATGAGTCGAGTAGCAGTGCATGTGGGAAAAGTGGTCAGATTCAGGTTGTATTTGAAGACTGAGCCATAAGAATTGTTAATGGAGCAGGTTTCAGGTATGGGAGAAAGAAACCAGTTAAGAATAATAGCAAGGAATGGAAAAACAAGTTGTAGTATATTCATACAAGGGATTATTACTTGGCAATAAAAAGAAAGAACCAATGATACTCAGAAAAACAAGAGTGAATCTCAAAGATATTATGCTGACAGAAAGAAGCCAGACACACAAAGAGCTACACATTTGATGATTCCATTTACATGAAGTTCTAGAATAGTCAAAACTAACCTATGGTGATAGGAATAAGATCAGTGTTTATGTCTGGTATGGGGGTAAAGGTGGGCATGGAGATTGGCTGGCTGTAAAGGGGCACAAGGGAATTTTGGGGGTGATGGAAATGTTCTGTCTTGAAAGTGGCTTGTATAAGCATTTGTCAGAGTTTTTAAAACTGTACACTTAAACTTTGAGCATAGCACTATGTGTAAATTATACCTCAATAAAGAGTTAAAAGATGACTTCAAGGTTTGGGTCTGTACAGCTAGAAAAAATGATACTGCTGTAAATGAGATGGTTGAGACAGTGGGAAAGTAGATTTAAGGTTATGAGGAGGAGACCCTCATTTTGGGCACATTTCATTTGACATGCCTGCGAGATAATCAAGTGGAGACATTAATAGGCAGTTAGATATTTGGGTCTGAAGTTTAGGAGAGAGGCCAATCTTAAGTAATACATTTAGAAACCATAAGCAAAGAGATGCTGTTTGAAGACATGAAAGTGAGTAAAATTACATGTATTATTAACTTAATTCTGCACTAAATCCATGAGGTAAACACTGTATTATTCTGATTTTGTAGATAAGGGAGCTGAGTCCCAAAAAAAAGTTGGGTCAGAAAATTATTGTTTTTTAATTGATAGATTAGAATAATCTCTGATGCTCCAAAACTCAAATTCTTAATCACTACATTGAATTACCACTCATAATGTATAAATAAATCCAAATACCCTTTTATGTCTTTATGTCGATATAGCTCTTTTGTATTCTTTACAAAGTATTTTCCAACCTATTATTTAATTTAGTTTAATGAGGTCAAATCAGGTTCCACAAGTATTAACAGTACTGTTCGACAGATAAGTAAATTGAGAAAGTGAGAGAGTAAGATTTACTATAAATCATATATATAAAGAGTATAACCTACATAGTTATATTTTATTTGTGATTTTCTCTGCAAATTATTGGAGACAGCTTATAAGATATACACAATGGAATATGCATTAGAAATATAAATAGAAAATCAAGACCGCAGAAAAGAAAAGTATGAATATCGAATACAAAAATTATTGTGGCTGAGTTTCAATTTTGTATCTGAATTCAATGATAGCAAAGTCAAAAAAGAAAATGATTATATAGACGTTGATATAAGAAAAAAAGGTGAATTTTTAAAGAAAATTATACATGTGGGCCTTGATTATAAAGACATTATAAGGATATGAGATGACTAGAGGATAATGTCCAGGACAAAATATTTGTAGCGAATGCTGTTGAAAATTTTGTATAGCTGTTGTTCACGTTAACTGTGAAAAAATTATGTAAATCAAGTTCTCTGACCTCTAAGCCACTTCCTATATTAAGCTAACTATAAATAGTTGGTAATCAATGTACATGTGGCTAACTCACTAAATAACTTTTGGAATTAAAGTATAAACAAAAGGATAATTTACTAAATATCTCCATATTTGCTGTAGACAATGACTATGAGATTTTTAATTATGACACATACATGGTATCTACACAAAATGTAATATTTTACCCTCCCTTCTGGCTCCCAATTAAACAAACTCATACTCCACTGTGATTATCAAAGAAGAAAATCCTTTCCTCTACTCCCACCCCTTACCCTTCCCTGTATAGGACCTCCTGCTTCCTTCCAAGTTCTGCCCTACTACTGGGCATTTCCAATTCTAGCCTCTCTAGAGCTTCGGGAATACCATTCAATATTTAAGTTCCTAAACTCGTTTAAGTGAGAATAAAGGCTTTCCTCTAAAGACTTGAAAACATCACAGATTTCTGTCTAGTTTTACAAGAATTCTACTATAAAGACCAGTTCTGACCTATTTTCTCTCAAAGGTACTTGGCAACAGCACTAGGCATTCTGCAGGACTGGTGTGCAAATCTGGAGATGCCCTTCTAAGGGCATTGTGTTACTTACCGAAATTGAGTGACATGAACTGACTCAAAACCTTGAATTCTTCTGTACGCTTCTAAAAGCTTACAGAAACAAAAACAAAAACAAAAACAAAAAACCACAGGGTAATATGTTGATCTTTGCTCTTGCACCAAGATACATTTGAGCAAAAACTGGATGCAGACAATAAATAAACAGAAACACCGAACAAAGGAAAAAGACACAGGATAAGGTAGTTGCACATTATAGAAATATTATTGAAATGACAATTGAGAATGTACACACACACAACTTATTTTCGAGGTTGCTAATAAAGAATGAATAATCTACTGCTTGGAATAGAGCATAAATTCAGTGCCAGATAATATAATAAATTCACCCAAAGTCTATTTTCTCATTTCCAAAAATAAGCCATTATTTTTTATAGATATTTGAACTGAATCTGTCTGTAAAATATTTGTGCATGTCTTCAGTTAGAACCACACCTGAACCATCATCCTAGGCGGTGGCACACTGATCGAGTTTTATGTGACTTCATTACGAAGTCCAGAATTTTGCTCAGTAACACTCTTTAGCCTCTAACAAGAGAGGTTTCTTTATGGAACCAATTCCAGATGCTGATAATTGAGCTTAGATCATGAAAATTTCTTTTGGCAAATAAAAAACAGAAAATAATCAAGAAGCCTTAGCATAACATTACCCAAATAAGCGAGCAAAACTGAATACAAAAGAAACGAGGATTCAACTGCTAAACTCTCCTAGGAAGAAAATGTTCAAAGTACGTCAGTTGTGGGCAGAGTGATTAACTACTATGTAATAACCACTGAAAATGAATAATTCCGAATATGTGTTAAATAACCATGTTGAATTAAAAACAACTTCTATTTAGCCAACAATTTCTTATATAATAAGGAAAAGTTGCTTACCTGAATTTCAATTCCAGTGGTATATTTGGAGTATATAGCAGAAGATGAGTTCAAAAGGTCTTTTGTAAATCTTTCATTAATTTTGAAAGTGCCCCAAACTTCTATGGAAAATAAGAGAACACTTATAAATACAAAAATTACTCACTTGATTTTATTATAGCATAAAATTACAGAAGTATAATTTGGAGCCCACACATTCGATAGCAGTATTTCAATTTATCTTTATAATGAATGTTCATCTAAAATAATATAAAAAGCATACAACCAGAATTTTCAATTGTGGTTTTCAAACACAAAAGGAAAGTGCTGGTAATTAAGACATCTGTATAAGTGGGTAAATGCCTGGCCACTCATATGTGGTTTTAAAAGGTAGTCACTTAATACTGAAATATGTTCCCAACTAGGCATTGATCTTAAACATTGTCCCCATTAAAATTTTTTCAAAACAAAAAAATTACTACTTGCTAACTCCAACATAATCTTTTGCTTACCCATCTTTGATGTTTTTCTATGCTGTGACAAGTGATTCCCAATCTCCATATGGACAAATCCTATTTATCCATCATTTAGGGCCTAATCAAATGAGCTTCCTCTCCAAGGCCTTCCCCGATCCCCAGATATAGAGTCTTTGCCTCCTGTAAATTCCTGCAGTACTTAATCCATATTTCCCTTAAAGCCTCTTGTACCTAAACGTCTATCTGTGAACACATTATGTATGTATGTCTTCGCTCTACTTTCGGAAGCCTCTTATGAATGAAATCCCTGTTGGATGCATCCCTGTATTTTTGAAAGATGATCAGACACAGACGGCCTTTCAAAAAGGTAGACTTTCATCAACACTGTTGAAGAAATTACATTGTCCTCTTTCCTGTATTAACATCCTCACCTCCCCACATAGCCTACTAACTCATTGATAGCAAAAGAAATGCTTCATTGTAACCTCCCAGAATTTGTCCCAGATCTGGGTATAAAGATGATGCTTAATAAATGCATGTTGCCTTAACCCAAATTGTTGTGGTCCTAGGAAGGCAAGCCAAAGATACTCAGGAAAGCTAGGCTATTTCAGATCCTCCCTCGCTCTTTGCTCAGCTCTACCAAAATCCAGAGCTTGAGGCCCTGGAACCCATATCATTTCTCTCACATCATCATCCACTGAACATAAACCTAAGTCAACAGTAGTTCCCTCAACTTCCGCCAGTTTCCTATCCTAGGCTTTCAGATTTTGATCTGTTTTGGTATTGCATCAATACACATATTCATTGGCAACTTAGGGCATTACTTTTAATATAATCACTATGTATTCCTCCTTGCTTTAATACCTCTAGACTTCTCTTTTCTGGAAATCGATGTTGGCAAAGGAGGTGAAAAGAAGATGAGAAGAAAAGTTGTATTTACTCAAGCAGTTCTACTTGAGATATCAGTGAATCTTCTTTCTAAATTGCAAAAGAAATATAGGATTGCTGAGCTGAGCTGGATGCGCCTCAAGGTTGAAGTGGTGCCCAAACATCAACTTGCACCTCTGAATTTTCTGTACTTGCGAAGCTCTCATTGTGTTTAGCCGAGCATACAGGGGTTTGTCATTACTGCCCTTCAATCTCTCTGCAAACACTAGCTCTGCCCAAGGAGGCATAAAGAAACACATGGGCAAAGAGCTAGAGTCCTCTCTCTGTCACATGCTAGGGTGGCAGGGGCCCCAACCTAGAGCTCCCCTCCTCGTATCCTTGTGTGCTTACTTGTTCTCTCACAGAAATTGACACTCTGGGTGAGGTTGTTGAGATAACAGTCACAGCTCTGGAGTGATCCAGCCGTGCGAAGGTAGCATTTCCGGGGATCAAGGCATGAGGGAGGAAACCAGGTATAGCCATCTTCACAGGCACACCGTAGAACCCCATTCTCATTGCCACAGTCTGTATGAAAAACAGAGCTTGATCTTATGGGGTCCGGTTAATAAATTGACTACTGCTGAGTTCTAAGTTCTGATTCTTGGCTTTGACCTAGAATCTGAACCAAGTATTTCTTACCGAAAGCTAAAGGGATAAAACCCTGATGCTGCTGCTACCACTGGACTGGGCACCACACTTTGAAAACCCTTGCTTTAGACAAATCATTTTTCTTTGAATCCTGCCATTGTGGTCATTAGTGCTGTTGGCCAAATATTTCTTGCTCTCTTCCAGGATTGCATATCCTGGCCCCCTGAGGTTGGGTGGGGTCATGAAACCAGGTCTGATCAATAAGTTATGAACAGAATTAGTATATGTTACTTCCAAGTTACATAATTCAACTACCCATGTCAAACTTTCCAGTGCTCCATTTTTGGGGGGTGGGGGGGAGCGGGGCACTCAGGATGGGTACATTCATTAGACAGTGTCTGCCTCATCAGCCTTGGATTCCAAATGACCACCACAAACTCAGCCCCTCTGCAACCTGCAATGGACATGTAGCATGAAGAAGAAATAAAACATTTATTCTTTTAAATACACCCACCTCTCCCATTTCCACTCCCAGTCCTCAGAGAGCTGACTTACATGTGGTCGCCTTTGCTCTGATAATCTTTATTGGCCCATGTAACCGTGATGATAGAAGCTTCAAAAGCTTGTGAAAATTCAAGTCTCTTTTCTCCTTGGAATCTCTATAGGCCACCTGAAGCAGCAGCTCATATTCCTGCACTGGGCCTAAAGAGAGGAAGACAGTCAGAGACTCCTTTCTCAGTCTTGGAGAGAACTACTGCCAAAGAAGTGGCTGGCAAGCAATTATCAGATTCAGCCTGGGGGTCATGGCCTTCATGACACAGCTTGTCATTGACTTTTGCTCATCCAGACATTGACTAAAAATGAGCATCCAGGGCAAACACATGTGGGCAGTCTCACATTGCCTGATATACATCCATCCTCTCGCTTTTGTCAGGCCAGTGCTCCCCCCACACTTGCATCACCCTCCTGATTTTACACACTTCCTCAGGACACATCCAGAGTCAAGTTTCAGGTGTCAAGGCTAGAGGGAGAAGAGGAGAGAAAATCTTAGTCACTTTTCATTTCTCCTCCTCCTGCTTTGGTCTCCTCGAAGTATCTTCTATATAAAATCCTCAATCTCACACTTTCCTTTCTAAAGAGCCCTTTCTTTTCCTGTAAAAATGTTGCCTTAAGTAACTGAGTATTTACATCAAATGCAAAATTAAAACAAATGAAACCTACATGAGCCCTTACACACCCTCATCTCTGCCTTATCATTTCTTTTTTGGGGGGTCTTTTTATTTAAAAAAAATTTATTACAGCTGACATTTAATATTATATTAGTTTCATATGTACAGCATAGTAGTTTAACATTTCTATAACTTACATAGTGACCACCCCCAAAAAGTCTTACATCCACCTGATGCCATATATAGTTATTACAATATTATTGACTATATTCCCTAAGCTGTACTTTACATCCCCATGACCATTTTGTAACTGCCAATTTGTATTTCTTAATTCCTTCCCTTTTTTCACTCTCCCCCCAGCCCCCCTTCTACCTGGCAACCATTAGTTTTTTCTCTATATCTATGAGTTTGTTTTTGTTTTGTTTGTTCATTTATTTTGTTTTTTAGATTCCCCATATAAGTGAAATCATATGGTATTTGTATTTCTCTGTCCAATTTATTTCACTTAGCATAATACCCTCTAGGATCACCTTATCATTTCTGAGCAGCACATTTGTTTCCACAAAGAGACACCATTAAGTGTTTTTGGCTGGGAGAGAAGATACGTCTTATGAGTCTTTTCCCATCCAGAATTCACTTAGGCACATTCACATGAGACTTAGTGTGAAATTCCATGGGATTTCAAGATCCTCCAAAGCTCATCTGTGAACCCCAGATTGAGAATGTGAAGGATCTTTGAGAAAAAAAGGGCAAAAGGTGGACATCCTTTTTTCCTGGGTCTCACTTTGTTGTCATTGGCAATAAAATCCCTTAGAAATCTCATATATTTCTCAGAACACCACTGAGCTTTCTGCAGGGAGAGATGACATGGAGAGCTTCTATGAGACTGGTTGGAGGGCTAGGTAGAAGGGAGCTTGCAGGGCTAGGTAGAAGGGAGACTTATAGAAAAGAAAAGCATCTGGATCAATCCCTAGGCTTCTCAGAAGGCAATCAGGAGGATAACAGGAAGCTAGCAGAGGCTAAGACATGTCCCAGGACATTTACGAGAAACCCCTGTCTGCCATAGCTCCCGCCATCTCACACCGCAGAACCCAGCTCCATCACTTACTCTTTCCATCTCCTTGTAGACTAGAGCCCCTGCCCCAGGACTTGGGTGTCACCCCAAGTGGTGGGAGCTAACAGGATTCCACTCCCACTGCCCAAACAGATAAGAAATGGAAAATGGAAAAAAGTTTACCCTGGCCACACTGTCAAGGGATGCTGTCACTGGTTCTGAAGCCAAACTGACTGGGTTTGAATCATGCTTCCTGTCCTCTAACTCTGTACCTTAATTTTGCTACCTATGAAACAAAGATGCCCATCGTACCTAACTCAGGGGTCAATGTGAGGATTTTAATTTATCTAATATACTTAAAATAGTACCAGGCACATAGTAAGAGCTCAATAAATATTAGCTTTATCTTTATATTATTTTATTTAATCCTCACAAATGTTTTGCTAGTAAGAATTACTGTTAGTCTTATTATTTTACAGATTTTGGGTGTTAACAATGTGCCAAAGATCATGTAACCGACCAGAAGTACTGTTGGGGTTTGAACCCCATTCTGTTGGCACCGATATTTGCTGTATCACACTATCTAACAGTCTCACCTGCATGCTTTTTCTTATTCACAATGAGTTCTCTTTTTGTTCTGAGGCCATTATTTCTCTGTTAAAAAGAAAAAAAAAAAAAAAAGGATAATTCAGGCAAAGTTTTGTAATGTTGTACTTCATAAGGCTTTTTTGAGTTTCTCAGACAAACTGAAATCATGGATCTAAAATCCAAGCCAGGGATGATGAGAAAGTAGCAAGAGAAGGCCTCACTGAGGCAACTTTTGCACACAAACCTGAAGGAGATGGGGAAGCGAAGATCCCTGGAGAAAGAACTTTCCAGGCAGAGAGAACAGCACATGCAGAGGTCCTGGAATCAGAATATACCTAGCATATGAAGGCAGTGAGAGGAGGCCAGAGTAGCTGAGTGGAATGGGTGAGGGGAGAGGGGCAGGAAGTGCGGTCGGAGAGCATCTCCGGGAGGCACGCTGTGTAGATCTTTATAAGCTATAGCAAGGGCTTAGCTTTTACTTGAGTGAGATGGGAACCCACTGGAGAGTTCTGAACAGAGAAATGACGTGCTCTACTTTATTTTTTAGAAGGCTCAATGCTGCAGCTATACAGGGAATTGATAAGCACAGAAGCAATGAGAGCATTTTAGGAGTTATTGAAATTGTACCAGTGAGAGACAACGAAAGTGTGGATCAAAGTAGTAGCCATGGAGGTGGTGAGAAGTGTTTGAGTTCTGGATATATTTTAAAGATAAAGCCAAAACAAACAAAAATAAAGAGCCAATGGTTTAGATATGGATTATGAGAAAAATCAAGCATAAAAATAAGTTTAGTGCCTATGCAGCTAGAGAGATGGTGATACCACTTGTCGAGACAGGAAAGGAAGAACAGCTGTGGTGAAGAAGAAAAAATTGAGTTTCATGTGGGACATATTAAATTGAGGGGTTTATTGGGAAAGTAGATAGTAGATATGTGAGTGTGGAGTCAAGGGAGTGGTCTGAGAGAGATATAAGTTTGAGAGTTTTGGGAGTCATCAGCGGGTAGAGAACATTAAAACCATGATCCCAGATAAAAGCATCAAGAGGATATATACAGGGAAGAGGGAGTTCAAGGATTACTAAAGCCAATCTATATGCTTTTCCTTCATGAAAGGGGTCATTGGAGTGAATGTATTGAACTAGAAGAGATCTCCAAGACAGTTTAGTCCAAGATCCTTATTTTGCAATTAGGTCATCTAAGCTGCAAGAGAGAAGTGACCTATCCAAGGCCACAGAGCTAATGATGGTAATGTTGAGACAAGAACCCAAGATTTCTGATTCTAAGTCTATTACATTAGCTTCAGTTGCCTAGAAAGTGATGGGTTCTAAAAATGCCAGAAGGAGAAAGAAGAGGCGGTAGAGAGGAAAAACAGGACACACGCCAACTCACCCCCAGGAAACCATCACGGCCCTCTGTGATCATGAAGAAAGAGATGAGCCAGAACACTGAAACTCTCATTTTCAGCAGGTCCCTCTTCTTTCCCTGGACTGAACATAAACAGCTGGGTTCATAGTCTGTGACTAGACAAGTCATGTACCATATGAGGCTGAGGCACAAAAACAAGTAACTTAAGCCCCAATTTTTTAATGCACAGAATGGTAGGGCTCGACCGAGTTGATCTGAAGCCCTGAGTGTTTGGTTGTTTTTCTACTTCATGTACCTAGCCTGAGATACTTTACTTCTATCCCCATTGCAAAAGGAATAAATTTCTGTCTTTACAAACTTACTAGAAAATTCCCTGAGAACTCTCTTCTGGGTGGTCAAATTTGACTAAACACAGGTTATTTAAAAATCATGACTTGATTAACTTTGCAGCTAGGTGCAATTTAACATCTAGCCTTTTATATTTCACTGAGGTTTCCTTTTCATCTCAATTAAAAACCAAGCATTAAAATAATGAAGGACCAAAACTAAATAAATAACCAAGGCCCCTTAGAACCATTAACGTAAGGATAGAATCTGTTTAAGCATAAAAATAATAACTAATCTAGCTAATTTCCTTCTTTATAGTTGTAATTAGCAATAAACCGTCCTCAAGATTACGGTTATCTCAGGATTATTCAAGCAAAACTTGGCATATAGTCATGATCAAAAAATTAATCACTTATACCCAGGTTATTTCATGTCAATAAAAAATTCACAGTAAGTTAGAATGGTTGCCTCCAATATAGCAGGCACTAGGCACATATGGCAATCTAAATTGCAATTTTAATTATAATAAAGTAAAATGAAAAATTCCATTTTTAAGTCACACCAGCCACATTTCAAGTGCTCAATAGCCACATGTGGCTAGTGGATACCAAGTTAGGCAGTGTAGACACAAAACTCTTCCATCATTGCCAAAAGTTTTATTAGGCATGGAATATTATTCAGCCTTAAAAAAAAAATCTTGTTATAAGCTACAACACAGATCAGCCTCGAGGACATTATGTTAAATAAAATAAGCCAATCACAAAAGGAAAAATACTGTATAATTCCACTCGTATGGAATACCTAAAGAAGTCGAACTCATAGAAGCAGGAAGTAGAATGTTGGTTGCCAGGGGCCTGGGGAAGAGGTAATGGGGAGTATCATTCAATGGGTGTGAGTTTCGGTTTTGCCAGATGAAAAAGATCTAGAAATCTGTTGCACAACAATGTGAATATACTTAACATTACTGAACTCGAACACTTAAAAAATGGGTAAGAAGGTACATTTTATGTTATGTGGTTGTTTTTTACCACAATTTAAATAACAATAGTCTTATTGGTTGGCATTGACATGAAGAAATACTTCCCCATGGCCTCTCAATATTTCTTTCATATCTCCACAGGAAAAGATGGAAAACTGTGATATCAAACTCAATGACCCAGCATCAGAATAAGTGCCCTTGATTAGCGGTACAGAAAACACAGGGTTGGGCCTTCCCTTCCAGCCTTTACCTTGTTTCCCGGGTCTGCTTTAAACTTCATACAAATCCTGCCATCCCCGACAGCACTGCCCAACACCTTGCTCTCTTATCTACCAGAAAAGAAAAAAAGGCATTAGAGACAAGGTAATGACTACCACAGACATGGCTTACATGTCAGCGGACACAATTTCTGGGACTTTCTAGGGAAGTATGGCAAATAGGCAATGGGACACATACCACTTTTGTGTTTACCTTCTCCCTTAGCAGAAAGGTCTTCTCATGCCCTCACCTTCCTGCTTGCCAAGACTGCTCCTAAATCTATTGCTTTAACACTCTTTGGGCAGCTGCCTGTGCTCCAGATCTCATTTTTCTAGACATTGATCCCCAAACTTATCTGCTCTGAGTCCTATTCCCTCTGGCCTGTGCTTTCTGCTTTCCAAAAGTGAGTAATACTTGTCTCTAGAGCAGAAGTATTTTTCAAATATTTTCGACCAGGTCCCATAGAAAGAAATATATATTTACACACACATATAATAAAACATAGGTATATATGTATGTATATATATACATATATACACATAATAAAATGTGTATATATGTATGTGTATATATACACATAATAAAATGTGTATATATGTATATTTACACACAAATAAAATATATATATATATATAAAAAAATAACTGAACAGCTTGTTAAACAGAATTTAATTCTTTCTCTGAGACATGCCCTTGTATATTTTCTCTTTCTTTCTTTTTCTCTTATTTCTTTTTTTTTGGTAAATTATCATATCCAACTAAATTGATTTCCTGATACCTTCTTGGAGTACAGCCGCATTACAGAGTAACCTTGAGCTCTTTCCAGACCCTTTCCCACTTTTTCTGCTCTTCCAGGGTAATTTTTTTAATGTGAATTCCCGGGTGCTGTTTGGGCCATGGTCTGCAGAGCTGGAGCTTTCAAAGAGAATGACAGTCTCGGTGCATGTAGGTATTATCTGTCCTCTCTTGTGCCAGGGCTTGTTTCCAAATTGGAGACCTATTTCTTGATGTAACTCTTTGTGTCAGTGTCTTCAGCCTTCTGTCTGTTGCACTCTTACACACAAATAAAATATATATATATATATAACTCTCTGTCTCTGTCTGTCTGTCTGTCTGTCTGTCTGTCTGTCTCTCTCTCTCTCTCTCTCTCTCTCTCTCTCACTCGCTTTTGCTCTCTCTCCCCATCTCTGAAAAAAATCTTTCTTCCATGTGGAGTCAGGCCTGGGGCTGCAAACCCAATTCAGAAAGGCTTGGGTGACAGCTCTGGGCATTGTAAGAAAACTCTCTCTCATACTTTGAGTTTCTTATTCCCTCTTCCTCCTATTCTGGAGGGTATATTCTGGGCTGTCTCCTTCGACTGGCTAGAAATGGTAAACTTTAACTACAATCAGGGTTTCAGATCAGCAATTCCCAGTCACTGCCTATCATGAATATCTGGACTGTAAAAACAGAGGGCAGAAGGAGGAGAGAAAAGGGGGAGGAGAAGAAAAGAAGACATTTAGGAGCTCATTAGAAAATATAGGTGTCCCCATCCCACACTAAACTTACTAAATCTTAGACAGGTCAGGCCCAGCCATGTGCGTTATTAAAGCTACCCAAGTGATGCTGATCTCCAGGTAGCTTTGAAAGTTGTTATTCTAGACTGGTTCTAGGATAGAAAAAAAAATAAGAGTTCTGCATCTAAGTAAATCCTGCGATTTGAATTCTCCTTTGGGGTTTGGGACCCAAGCTCAAACTAAGCAAAACTTTTTTTTCGCTTCCTTGACGTGAAGGGATACAGCTCCTTCAGGGATAGGGTGGGAAGATGGATTTTCAGATAAATAACATATTTTTTTAGTGTGACACTATTCATTGTCTAGAAGTATTTGTCATTTTTCTGACATTCATATAAAGTACCCGGAACAACACCTGAAAGATGGTAAGCCTCAATTATTATTAGCTAGTAATATTAGCATTACTAGCATTTTAATCTCACCACCAGTTTGTATAGTTCCTTGTTAGATTGTATCAGAATTTGACTTCAACTGTGAGTCAAATTAACTTATCAAATAAAAGCTGCTTCTGGGTTGATGCAAACCCCATGGTATTTTCAGCACTTCCCTTTCAAGCTGAAAGAGTCCTGATTATTAAAAAATTTCTCAAAATCTGTGTGTCCTGGCCACAGATAAGGAGCCATCATTGTCATCAGAGTATGCATGTTTACATCACACCTCGCTCTAAGCCAGCTGGGGGCCAGCAATGCTTGACGTACAGCTATATTGGCCTCCGGCTTCCGTGGGAAGGTTTGGCTGCAAGTGAGGACCCCCTCACTTCCTTGAATTCATTCAAATGATTCATTCCTGATAATCCCTGCCCTTCAATTTACAGAGAACAATCATTAGAATTTGCTATTAAGCCTCTGGAGACAGCTGTCCATTGTCTCCTCATTCTTCCAGTTATGTATTTATGGACTCCAAACATCACTTATTTATGTCAACAGCAGTCTCCTTATCAACAGTGGTGCTTACTTGGAACTGCTCATACCTCTACTTTCCAGCATTTTTAACAATAATCTAATCTTAGGCACAGTTGAATTCTTGGGTAGGTTCTTTGGCATCAATATTTATGGGATTATGTTTCCTCCTCTATAAATAGAATAAGTTCCAATACAGTGTCTCTCTACTCTCTGTCCTGGACTCACATGTGCATACATGCTTAACACACACACACACACACACACACACACACACACGGAAAGAGCAGATCTCTAGCTAGAATCTGAAAGAAATCATGACTCAAATAAAACTGTTTTACAGGCAGAGGACCTATAAAACCTTGGTTTTATTTTATCTCTTATTTTATAAGTTTTTGATAACATTTGCATTGGGATCTGTCTTTGTATAGAAATCCTTGGGCCATTTGCCTTCAAGAGTTTCTTTGTGTTCCTTTAAGTGGGCAGATATAGTAAAAAAAAAAAGCAGGTGGCAAGATAGGTGGAGAATAGAAAAGATAACCAATTTTATGTCTGAAAAAAATTTTGGAAGTTTGGTAAATTTTATGAGCCAGACAAACTTCTTCTGGAAGGAATATAATTTAAACTATTTAAAATCTCAGTGAGTATCTGCATAAATAATTGTGCATACAAAAATTTTAAATACATATTTTATATTTTAGCATGTTTTTAGCATGTTTATAGTGCATAAACATAGTGGAGAGAGAGCAAAATTAATTAATAGACCCTAACTCCAAGTTTGTCCCTTATGTGCTAGAACTTGTGAAAGTTAAAAAAAAAAACAAAACTCACTGGACTCAGTTTCCTTCCCTATAAAAAAAGGTGAACTCAGATCAATTCACGTTCAGATTCTATTATTATCTGCCCATCTCAGTTTTATTCAGCTTTACTACTGTTTTCTCCTCAAATTGGTTTTTATAATTCTTGAACATCTTTTTAGATAAGCTGAAACCCTACTAAGAATTAAGTTCTTGGGTTGAGAATAGAGGTATGACTTTTAAAAACTCTAGAATTATAAGGCTAGAAGAGACCAAAGGAATTACTTAGCTCAGTCACACTTTACCAATTTGCTAAACTTCAATTTGTTCAACCACTGTATGTTGACAGCCTTCAATTTCCAAGGCAGTATGGGGGCCACTGGCTGTTCATAACACAGTCATGTGGGGTGTCCATGCATTGTAGCTCCACCCATTAAGGGAAACCCCAAAAGCAGTGATCCAGATCTACTTTTGAAAATAACTGCTGAGTTGTTGGAGTCTCTTTGTTCCAGTGTCCCTATTTAAACTCTCTGATGTTCCACTGAATGGATCTCCCTTCAGTGTCCAGTTTGTGACCCTACCTCCTCATCTGATATTTTCAGATCCAAAAATTGAAATACATTTTTTTACAAGTCTATGTGTCCTTTGCTACTCATTGGAACTTCAGCTCGAGAGCGTTTCTTCTGTTGCTGGTGCTGGCAGACTAGCACAGATGTGTGTTTCCCCCTAACAAGGATTTGGGTTTTTTAATCTCTTTAGCCTGTGCTTTGTATCTTAGAAGAGACACAGGGTGATTTTTTTTGTTCTTAGCTCATCTCTCAGTACTTTTTCTGGTGTCCTAGTAGAGTTAGTTACCCACAGACAACAAGTCTAGCTCAATTCCTTTGTAAAAACCCTAACTGCCAGCCTCATGGGTTGGCTCTACTCTAATCCCTTGGAACTGAAGATTTTCTCTTGTCTCTCATGGTTCAGTAGAGCAGAAGTTACCATCCAGCCCTAAAGGATAATTAATGGCATTCCAGCCAAGCCTTCAGCTTAGCAGTGGAGACCCAGCCTTCCTGCAGTCCCCAGGTCAAGCTTATTTCTCATCTTCCCCACTCTACTTTCCTTACTTAGAGTGAGTAAAGCCAAGAGAATTTGAGCTTCCTCTTCAATTGTTTGCTTGAAAAAGTACCTAAACAGAAACTTAAGAGAGGTGATAGTTACATAATAAGAAAAAAGAATAATTCTTTCTAATTTACAAAATGCTTTTATATGTATGGATTCTATTATTTTGGCAATCTTATCAATTAAGTGGGAATTATTTCCTTCTCATACTTGCAGAAAATGAGAAAGATAAACTTCAATTCTATTTTCCCAAATTCCTCTCCCAAAAGAATCTAATATTTCTCTTGGACTATGGGTCAGTTCATTTGCTGCTTGAGAGATGATTTTAATAAAGTCATGATTGTTAATTTGATTTCCATCTAAATTTCTTACAAATAAGCTCTCTGTTAAGGAAAAGGAAGAATATATATTTCAAAGCTATCCTAACAAATTTGAATTTTGTTACTCAGTTGTCTAAGGATAAAAACACAATTCATCAGGCCTACTGGAAAAAACCTACAGAACAGGCTTTGTGGGGTCTTTTTATGTGAATGGTCAGGCTGAAGATGTTTCAGACTATTCTTGGGTGATCTGTTTTCAGTAAGAATAAAACAAATATCTGACTTTTCATTCAACACTTATACTGGTAAACCTTAATTGTTTCAAATCTACTCTCTCCCAAAAAACATTCTTTAAGTTTTCTTATGCATGTTAATGTATTTTTATCATAGTTTCCTAATCAGTAAAAGCAAGTTCTTCAATCATAGTTTCCAAATGATTCGTCTGTGAAATGAAACCAATTGCCTGGTGTTCCACCAATCCTGCAAATGTCATGTTAATCCATACTTAAAATCCTTCCAGGTTCCATACTATGTACAAATGAAGAGCAAATGGGTTATAATGGCAAATTCATCTTTTGGACTCCTACAATCTTATCTCACATGTTCCTTCTTTCAAGCTTCTTGTGTACCCTTAATTCTAGGCAAACTGGGATTTTTCTAGGCTAGGCTGAAAGTCCTGCTTCAAAAGATTTATACATTTTGAGATTTGATAGGCATGACCAAATTGCTCTAACTTGTACCTATTTACACTCCCTCAAAAGGTATAGAAATGCCTGTTTTAACACATTGTCCCCAACATCTTTTTAATGTTTACCAAACTGATAGGCAAATTTTTTTCTAATTGCTTTAATTTAAATATCTCTGATTATTAGTAAGATTAAGCATTTTCCAGATATTTCGTGACCATCTGTATTTTTCCTGGCTTGACTATTTAAGTCATTGTTTTAAATTTTTCTATTAGAATGTTCATTTTTTTCTTAAGAGCTCTTCGTATAGTATGGATAGTAGCTCTTTGTCACTTGTGTTATAAATATTTCCTCATCATTTGTCTTTAGTCTTTTAGGTTTTTACGTTGTCTTGTTCTGCATAAAAGTTTAAAATATTCATGAAATCACATGTCAGTTTTTCTATATGATCTTAAACTTGGGGTCAGGCCAAGAATTTTTATTTTGCAAAAAGATTGTAAAAATATTGTCCTATATTTTCTTCTAACAGTTATTTAAGGTTTTTTTTTAATACATTTAATTTTTAATTCTTCTGGAGTTATTTCAGGTTTTGAAAAAAGGATTAACTTTCATTTTCCCCCAAATGAATAACCAGTTATCCCAACTACCTTTCCTGGCTAAACCATTCATTATCAAGACCACCATGATAACTTTTTATTAATTTTATAGACCACTTTGTAATAAAATAAAATTCTGACTTAAGTATTTTTTAAAATTCTACTGCATCTGTGTCATTTCTTTTACCAGTTACTTGTCTAACTTGTATCTTGGTCAATAACATAGAAGAGTGTTTTATGTATAAGAATTATATCATTAATTTTCTTGCTAGAAATAATTAGCCTAATTCTCTGAGAGATTAAGTGTTGGGAAGTCTTCAAGCAAAATTTGGCTTAAGTATAAACACAAGTGTGAAAGGTTTTCATGGAAAATATAATCTGTTTAATACAAAATCCCTTTATCCAAAACTTTGCAGGTGTGTATCTGTTCTGTTGTGACAAGCTGTCCTAATACCACAGATTTACAGTAAATGCTTACTTATCCCTAAACAATACAGGAACTCAGATTTTTAACATTTTATCTCATGAGAAAGAAGCAAATAATAAAGAAATTATCTTATAATTTTTAATGTCTTTATGTTAAAAGGCTGTATTTAACCCCCCAC